TGGCCTTCCTCTTTGGGACAGCCTTGGAGGCACCTCTAGAGGGAGATCACGTCCGCCCTCAGTCTTCTCAGCAGAGGGTGCTGTGACCTGTCTGTGTGACATCTGAGGGCAAAAGCTGAAGGATTATGTGGATTCCTGCATGCCACCAGGCTGGAGTGATGAGGAAACTTCCTGCAGTGACTTTCTGTTTTTATGGGTCATGCAAGAGGTGAATGGTACCCAATTCACCCCTTCCCATGCATGGGCCTGAACACACACCTGTTTCCTACGCCTGGCACAGTGAGCCATGAGAAGCTGCCCGTGTGTGAGACAGAGGGCAGGACGAAGGAACAGGCAAAAGCTTCCAAGGTCCACTGAGATATGGATTCACGGAAATACTGGGACCAGGGGGAGGGCTGCTCCGCAGGGCTGGAGCTGTCCATGGTGCTGCCCCAGCTCCGCTTTTCCGGCATCTCTGTTCTCCTGCTGTGCATTCCCCACCACACCTTGAGTTGTGGACGGAAGAGACTGTGACGGCCTTTGGTGTGCTAGAAATAAAGACGTAAAAAAGTTTTCCTGCCTCTGGCACTCAACATGAACCTGGAAATTTCCTCTCCCGGTTACAGCTTATCCTCTTCTCTTCACAGGTCCGACTTCTATCGGCATTCGCTAAATTCAGGAAACTCATAAGCCTCTGGGTTTTAGATGTCTTTTATTTCAAATGTCCTTTGATTTACAAATGCATGTATCCCCTGTACACTTAAGGAATCTGGTGACTACGCAGAAGTATCACATAGAAGCTACACCCAAGTTGGTAGCAGAGGGTTGTTTTTGGAGATTCAACTGATGTCTTTGCTGTTACAACAGGCTCTTTAAAAGATAAAAGGTACCAGCATTCTCAAATCTTAGATGATTGTGCAGTGCTCACACACGTGGCCAGCAGTACTTCTGTTTTATGCTTTGAGAATTTCCCACTAACATCCTTTACACACTGAGGCACTAACATCGAAGAAGCTGCTCACGGTTCAAATGGCACTGTTGTCTCCGTAGAATAGATTGTGTTTCTAACAGGCATTTCAAACAATGCTGAAAGCAAGCACGTTCACAGTCCACAATATCACAACCACCGTATTGGGCTGCTGTGATGTCAACTGCCCCTGTAGTCTAGCGGCTCCAATCTTGGCAAAAACAACCCACACATAAAAGCAACCTTCCGTGGGCAGACTGTGTCCACCAAGGGAGGCCCACGAGGGACTCTCCCCCTGGCCCAGGGCTCCATTAGCTTCAAGCGTTGCCCCGTCTTCATGGCCATGGGCCCCATCTACTTAAGCAGACCTTGCCATGACCCCCAGCCAGAAACACTGACAGAGAAGGGGGGGGGGGGGGACAGGGGACCAAGGATGGCTGTTCTCAAAGACCTGTCCGAGGTCCTGAGGAGCTTCCCGCTGTTCTCCACCACCACTGCTTCTTGGCTGTCCTTCCCAGCAGCCCAAGAATTCTTGCTGGACTGTCTGCACCCCTCCTGTGGGCATGGCTGCACCATGGACGGACAGCTATCATTCACCGTTTGTTCGAAGGTGTGTCTCCTGCACGCCGCATCACACAAGTTGTGCCCCATCCCACACACACCTTGCTGAGCTACCAGCAGTGCTTATCAGGGAATTAAGGGCTGTTCTTCCATGCCAAGAAATGGAGACCGCCGCTACACGGGTGTACAAAGCATCCGCATCACTCTCATCTGTGCTGCCGCAGACACCCTCTGCCATGGTTTTGCACCCGGTTCTTGCAACTCAAAGGAATAATCGGCATATGATAGCCAGAACAAACAGGTCTTCCAGCAGTTTCCCCCTTGGTCACCAGCTGATGGCAGCACGAAAGCTGAATCGGGTTCTCAGCCCAAGAGGCACAGTTACTTTTCTGTCCTTCGCATGATTCAAGCCCTAACTAATCAGTGCGTAACTGAAGTGTTATTAAACTATGCAGGACATTCATCTCTAGGCATTCATCAACCCCTTGAAAAATGCCACACCTTGCATAGAAGTTCCCAAGGCATCTCCTTGGCTAGATACCCAACTGGAGGGGTCTTGGTTCGATCCAGCAAAGCAAGTCGTGTGTACTGATGGGTTTCTGGGCCTGCTGACACAGAGCTGCATCCCTTGGGTGTGGGGCCCAGACCACTTCTTGCTGTGCCCCACAGCACTCGACTAGCAAGCTGGGCTATCCAGCAGCCACTGCCATGCCACCCACCTGAGCAGCACCTGGACCATCCAGGGACGGCCTCAAGGTGAGACAAGGACACAAACCTGCTAGCCAAGAGAACTCTAAACATTGAGTGCCGGAGACTGCAGCTCCTGAGCCAGACACCCCAAGATGCCTACTCACCTGTCCCCTACACATTCCTTATTGCTGGGGGAACCCCGCTAAAGGCGACCAGTGAGGAGGGAACTGATGGGGAGGAGCCAGGGTGCTTGGTGCTGGACATTCTTTACTCTCCAAGAAACTGGCTTCACCTGATGGGCTGTGTTGCCCTCAGGTGATCTGGCAAGTTCTGCGGACTTCCATTCAAGGTTAGGAGAACACGCAGATGTGCCAACAACCTTTCCCAGACTTGCTCTGTCACCCTCTACCCTGCCACACTGGAGCTTTCAACCAAGATGACACTTTAAAATATGAAAGTACCTTGAAACATGTATAAAGACCGGAAAGAAGGTTTGATTTTAAAGATAAACATGGTACACGGGGCAGGAATGCAAATGTTTGAGAACAGACTTCTCCAGATAAATAAGACTCCAACCTCAAACCAACTTTGGGGATGATAAAGGATGAATGGACCCAGGTTCGCCTATTCAGATAAAATCAGTCTCTCATTAGGCCTGGTTTTACTTCAAGCTGGTCCTTGACATATTTACTACCAAGAGGGAATTAGACTAGTGACGACACCAGCCTTCTCCAGCCCATTGCATCCCGGGTCCTTTGGATGATCCCTATCAGCACCAGCCAGGAGGCCCAATGGACTACAACTACCAGGGACAATGGTAGTTGTAGTCCCAAACGCCTAAAGAGTGCTGAATTGGGGAATACTGAATAGGTCGACACATTAAGAGAATATAAATCAATATACTGCCAAAACACCCCCTTGTTGGTGAATGAAAATGTGTGATTTATCTACTACATGGGTCCTCAAACTACGGCCTGCGGGCCGGGTCTGGCCCACCGTGCCCTTCAACCGGCCCACCTCAGGCGTTTGGATCCACCGCCGCCCGCCTCACCCCGCACGCAGGAGGTGGCGGCTTCCTCGCCCAGAGATCGTTTTGGACTCGCTCGGAGAAAACGCTCTCCAAGCGAGCAAGCTGCCTCCTCGCACGCCCACCACTGCCCCCCATCGCCGCGCGCCTGCCTGTGCCTCACCGTGCCCCTGTGCGCCACCCCCACCCCCTGGCCAGCCCACACGCCCCACTGGCACCGCCTTTCCGGCCCGCGCCCGGCACCGGCACCTTTCAGCTGGCCCCCTGGTGGAAAAGTTTGAGGACCCCGATCTACTACAACAGACTGATCATCATAAGTTATCTTCTAGTCGTCTCCAGATTAGATTACGGTAGCAGTCCCACGTGAGCTCCTCCCTGAAGACAGCAATGGCATTTCAGTCCGTGCAAAATGTCCGGGGGGGAGCCACTCAGTCAGACCATGTTCTGTCGGTCCTGCACCACTATCATCCTTTTTGTTCCGGTGGTGGGGGAGCCAGACAAGGCTTGGGGGGCCACTTGTGACCTACAAGCAGCATTTACTGCTCCTCTGCTGGAAGGTGGCCTAATAGGGTAATCCTATTTTGTATAAACATTTCCTGACCCCTTAGGATCTGAAGATTCAAAAAAAGTATTGGGGATTAGATATCAGAAATCCAGGTTGAGGAATCAGACTCAGAGTGAAAGGCTGTTGCCCCAGCAAGTCTGCTATGGCCCCTGTGCTGTAAACAAAAGCAATTCTGCACATGCTTCCTTATCTGCCATGGTGGTGCAGCATGTCTGGTTACGGAAGCTCAAAGCGCCCCTTCTCTTGCTTGCTGGAATAATCCAGATGCTATTATTTGTAGCATCTGCCCAGAGAGCCTCATGGGCTATGGAGCAGTATACAAATGTAATAAATACATTCAAACGTTGGAAAACAGCCAACCTAAGGAATATAAAGCATTCTCTCACGGAAAGCAGCTGTCCTCGCTGGTATATAGAGGTAGATGGCATCAAACTCTGCTTCATTCACTATTTACCTAACAGTTTCAGATGATCAAGCTTAATTAAGCAGGGAACGTTCACGGGAGGTCACCCTGATTCCCTGGACCTTTCGAGGCAGGTGTCTGGTCCTATCCAGCCAGACAGTCACGGTCTTCAGCAAAAAGGAGAACACCACCTTGTGCTAACAGCTAATCCACATCAGAACCACGAATATTTATACCAAGAATATTTGGCACAAGAATATTTGGATTTGGTAACCAATCCAAAATAAGAGGAGGATGCAGTGGACGGACCAGAACCCATTAGAGTGCAATTACAATACCCAGTTAGGAAAGTTTCACATGTATCCTAGTCTATAAATTGTACAGAAATCAATATATACAGTCTGGGGGTGCATGTGCCCCCTGATGCTGCGAGCCGTCCAGCAGAGCAGCGTGGCCGCGCTTGCCCGCCACCTGGATGTTTTCCGGGACGCGGGGCCTCCCCGTGACACCCTAGCCCTAACCCTAACCCTAACTCTTGCCGAGGGACCCCGTCGAAAGAGCTCGGTCCGACGGGAAGGGAAGAGTCTCCCCACGGACCTGGCGAGGCCGGGAAGACGGGTCGCGGAGCGGCGCCGGCCCCCCGGGACAGCCGCGGCGGGGGGCGGCGGGGGCGCCCGGCCGCAGGTGCCCGGGACCGCCGCGCTGGAG